GACCTGTTTCATTTTCAACCCTAGCTTTCCATATCCTGAAAACTTCAAACACTTCGGACTTGTATTTTAGAAAGTAAACCCATACTTTCCTAGAGTGATCATCAATAAAAGTCACAAAAGTACTGTTTTCCACCTATAGACTGGGTGGTTGTTGGTCCCCACACATCAGAATGAACAAGCTCCAATTTTTCTTTCATTGGAGTTCTTCCATATGTCTGAAAGCTTACCCTCTTCTTCTTTCCAAGTATGCATTCTTCACACATGTCTAAATTCACAGATTTTAGACTAGGGAGTTTTCCAATTGAATGCATGATCTTCATTCCTTTCTCACTCATGTGACCAAGTCTTTGGTGCCATAACTTGGAATTTTCATTCTCTGTTGCAACTGCAATCGAATAACACGCTCCAGCTGTCAAATAGAGAGTACCATTCTTATTACCATGAGCAACTATCATTGCTCCCTTTGAAATCTTCCAATTATCACCTTGAAAGATTATAGTGTAACCTTCACGAGCCAACTGCCCAACTGAGATCAAGTTCTTTCTTAGGTCGGGAACATGTTTGACATCCTTCAGCTCCCAAGCTGACCCATTTAACTTAATTTTGACATTACCTTGACCAACAATATCACAAGGTTGGTCATCACCAAGGTATACCTGTCCAAGGTTTCTATGGACATACTTCTCAAAAAAGTTTTTATTAGAAGTAGCATGGAACGATGCTCCAGAGTCTAATACCCAAGACTCTTCTTTGCTCTCCAATGAGCATATCAACGCATCATCACCTTCTCCGGTAGAAGTGACATTTGCCTCTGCCTTCACTTTTTTGCCTTTTGGTGTTCCCTTGCACTGATTTTTATAGTGCCCAATCTTTCCACAATTCCAACACTCCACAGTCTTTGAGTTTTGGAAATTATTTGGATTCCTGGATTTTGACCTCCTATCTCTGGATTGTCCTCGATAGTTTGATCTTCCACGTTCATTCCTTCTGATTAAATTTCTTCCTCTTGACTCTGTATGCAATACTGAAGAGGATGAAGATTCACCTTATTCTCTTCGTCGAATCTCCTCACTAAGAACCAGATCACGAACGTCATCAAACTTCAACTTGTTATTTCCCGATGAGCTACTCACAGCTGTGATTGTAGCATTCCAACTATCTGGCAGGGAAGATAAAAGTATTAACGCTAATACTTTATCATCAAATTTGATTTCAACAGAACTCAATTGGGTTGTGACAAAATTGAGTTCATTAAGGTGTTGAGCTACCGATCCACCTTCCGACATCCTCAAATTAAACAACCGCCTCATCAAATGAACTTTATTGGAGGCTGATGGCTTCTCATACATATTAGAGAGAGCTTTCATGAGACCTGCCGTTGTGGTTTCCTTTGCAATGTTAAACGCCACATTGCGTGATAACGTCAATCGAATAACTCCGAGTGCTTGTCTATCTAAAAGCTTCCATTCTGCTTCTTGCATGCCATCTGGCTTTTTCTCTTCCAGAGGTTGATAGAGTTTTTTCTGGTATAAATAATCTTCAATCTGCATTTTCCAAAATCCGAAATCTTTACCATCGAATTTTTCAAGTTTAACTTCTCCTTTGTTTGCAGTCATTTCTCCCACTCAAATTTGACTTTTTCTTTTAGGATCATTTTTATTTTTATCGTAATGTGGACTAATTGTCAACCAAGCTCTTGATACCAATTGTTAAGAAAATAATGCAAATTTTCTATTTAATCAAATTTGAGGGAGAAATAAATTACATAAACAAAATGTCTATTTATACCAAAGTGCAAAAAAACACAACCCCTCTTTTCTCTGAGTTATTTTTCTTCTCTTAGATTTTCTCTTGAAAATTATTACATACAAATGAAGGAAATGCTCAATTTATAGTTTTCCTAAAACAACCTAAGCCATTTAAAATTTAGCCTTCAATATTTATTACCGTTAATTATTTTTCCCTATATTTGGAAACACCTTTAATTTTCAATGGTAATGCATGGTTATTTAATAACCATTTATTTTTTTTCTTTATGTTTCTTCATTATCTGCCAACATAAACTATTCCGTACATTCTATCTCGGATTTTAAAAAGATATTTAGCTAATGTACCATAATTATTCTGTATTTATTAAGTTGTTATCTTTTGATATTTAATACTAAGAGTCATAGTCTTGTGAAAAGACATGCCTATTCTAACTTGTATTTATCTTTAAAAAAAATTATTGGACATATTGTCTCGCTAATAATATGCAAAATAAATATATGCTCTTTAATTTACATTTAAAGTTCAAACTAAAGTGTTTTGGACTTAGTTATTAGTTTGATGTGGTGTACTGTGTTTTTTTAATATCTGATCTCTTTTAATCTGATTTAATTATGATAAAAATAAGTTACTATTATAAATTTTTATTACAAGATGAATAGAACAAACTTTAAGGATATATTTTGGCATCCCTCCATGCATGCCTCCGCATAGTTAGGTGAATATGGTTGAACATTGTCTCATCAAAGTCTTTATATTAAGAGACGTGTGAAAAGCTACATATTTGCACGTTCAAGAATTGCCTCCACGTTATAAGCCATACTTACATACATACATAATAGTATAATACATTAATTAGTACTCTGTATGTAAGAATAAAATGTTTAAGAGCTTGATGTAGATAGAATTGTTTTTCTAATAAAAAAATTAATCATGTATTTTAATATCCAAGTTATGATTTTGATAGTTCGTCGATGTTCAGTGTATAAATTAAATTGCTTGTATTATTATTTGCCATCGTTTTTATATTAAACTCTGTCCTTTTCATGATTCATGACGTAATGAAAGGGATACCCTTTTCTTACTCAGGCTTAAATATGCAATTATCCAACCAAGAAGTACTTGAGCAATTTTTTAATATAGTTTGATGGTGATGTTGTTTCTTTAAAAAAATGTTGTTTAGATTAATAATTTGAGTTTAAATTGCACGCATAATGACGAATGGTGCTTATTGATATACTGCCAACATATTAATATTAGACGGGAAGGAAAAGCGACAATGTACGTATGCGTGGTATTTCATTAACTTATTTACGTGTTTGAATCGAAATAAAATATATTTACTCACATTAAGGCCCTGTTTTTTTGAACTGTCATGTTCTTTTAAGCTGCTGAAATCTGCTTGCTCTGTTTAAAAATAATAATTAATAATAATAATAATTAATAATAACAATAATAATAATAATTAATATTTAATATTTAATAATAATAGTAATAATATTTAATATTTAATTATCATAATAATAATTAATATTTAATAATCATAATAATAATAATATTAATTAATAATTATTAATAATAATAATAATAATTAAATAATGCGATGATATGCATAATACTAAAATTAAAATAATAATAATAATAATGTAATAATTAAATAATGCGAAAATAATATAAATAATACTTAAAATAATAATAATAATAATAATAATGCTGAAATCTGCTCTACTCTGCCCACAAGCTCAAAAGACCAATGCTGAAATCTGCTCTACTCTGTCCACAAGCTCAAAAGAACAAGGCCTAAGTCATCAATGGGTACAAAAATTTTCTTTTCAAAGAAATAAAAAATTCCAAACAAATTATAACCTTTACTCAAAGTAAAATCACTACTTTAAGTACCATTATGCCCCAAGATAAATTTTACATAAAACTGTTGACCAAACTTGCAAACAGCAAAAGACATCAATGTTGATAAAAAAAAATGGCAATACACAAAAACAATTGTGGTAAGAAACCCCTACTCCTCATAATTGTTATAATAGAATATATTTGTAATATACTACTCATAACAACAAGGTGTATTTTTCTCATAATGAACTCGATCTTATGCTAAGATACCAATTAGATAAACATATTCAGTTGAGAGCACCATTCGAATGAAGAGTTGAAGACATGTCAAGTATTAATTGCAGGTAAAACCTCTATCTTTGCCCTTTTTTGTTTTGAGGACATAAACTCCTTGCAATTCTATTGCATTTAACATGTATAGTTAAAAGGTAAAATCGCTACTTAAAATGAAGGACGGGAAGGAAAATATTACGGAGTATGAAATAATATATCATCTGGGCCTATAAGAGAGAAACAAGGAGTTATATGAGAGATGAACGAAGAATATTATGTACTCCCTCCATTTCTAAAGTTTTTCACACTTGGAATTTTGGATCATTTATAAGATGAGAGTATCTTCTAAATTACATTTTATATATACGTAAAACATAACATAGTCATACTAGATGTTATTTGATTTGTCTCAAAGTAGATCATTGATATTCGATTGTAATATCCTTTTTACTAATATGCAAAATTACAATGATGGTTAAAGTAATGCATTGACAAACAATTGCAATCACAATGAGAAGAGCTTTTAGGAACAGACATACTCCCTCCATTTTTATTTTTTTCGATCAAGTGTTACACTCTGATCGACACATAGTTCAGCCGCTTTAATTGACATTATTATAATAAGATGTAAGGGGGTAATTAGGGTATCATCAAAAGATAGTAAGTGTAATAATTTATTGAGAAGTATTGAATGTGAGAGGAGTAATTTTTTTTAAAGTAATAATGGATGTGTGTGAGGACCGTGAGAAAAGAAGATGTACGAAGTAATATTTAATTGTAGTAGGTTGTTAAAAAAAATGTCACAACTAAAAAAACGAGGGAGTAGCATCTACGAAGTATTACTTACTTTCATTTCTTAAAGTGTTACAAACTTCACTTCAACCAAAATTTAACATTAATTATACTAATTTACGTGAGATTTTGTCATGCATTTCTAAATTAATATCAAATTAAGAAAGATCTTAAATGCTTATTCATAACCCTAAGAGATACATATAGCATTACCCTTTAAATTTTTTCAAATTAAAATTAGAGATAATGCTCAAAGTTTCATTACAACAATGTATTAAAAACTTTTAAAATTGAAAGGAATGTAGTAATACATCCACCAAATAATATTGCAAAACATATCCTTCCATTTTCTCCCGTTTACTTGTTCTTAGCAAACGAGTAACGACGTGTTCAAGGCGTGTAGAATAGCGTGTCCAAAAAAGTGCGTCCTACCCCTTTTCTCCTTCTTAATTTTAGCCTCCTCTGATAATAAATTAACCTTTCCTAATTTCATATTACCACCATTAACATCCTACTTAACACAGTAAAAATTAATTTCCTAATTTTGGCTCTTCTTACCCAAAAAAAAAAAAAAAAATTATAATTTCACCCTCCCCACCCATAAAACGCGGTGCTTCATCTCCTCATATAACTCCACCCTCTCTGCCTTAGGGTTCTCTCATCCACCCCACCCCCATTTTCTCTCTCCTAAATTTTCTGCGATCTTCAATCTTTTCGTCAATTATCAACCTCTCTTTTCATTTTTTTTCATTTTTCCCTTTCTGGGTATTTCTTGATTTCTTCAATTTTCACAATTTTTAGACATCTTTTTGCAATTTTTTCAATACCCAAATCAAAAAAATTGTGAAATGCCGGCAAAAGATTAGATTTTGATGAACTTTTTGTATCTGGTTATCTCATAATTTCTCCAAAAATCTCAATTTTTTCGTCATTGATTGAATTTAATTATACCCAAATAAAAATAATTAGTGGTATTTTCTCTGAGAAATGCCCGCAACAGATTACCAAGGTTCAGGAAGTCCGTTGACGAATTTCGGCCGTTCGATTTTGAGTATAAGACGTGATCAAGGTCAAGTTCATTCAACAATGGAGGGTTCACATGACCCAACAAATCAAGAATTCGAGCTCGAAACGTTTCAAAAACAAGTAGCAGAGCAATTCAATGAGTTATCATCAGCAGGTTCAGATGAGCTACTTTCTCTTTCTTGGGTTCGTAATTTGTTAGATGTTTTCATTTGTTGTCAAGAAGAATTTCGTATTGTTTTGTTTAATAATAAAGGGTATTTGAATCGAGCACCAATGGACCGATTAATTGGTGAATTTTATGAAAGAAGTGTTAAAGCTCTTGATGTTTGTAATGCAATTAGAGATGGAATTGAACAGGTTAGACAATGGGAGAAATTGTTGGAAATTGTGATTTGTGCTCTTGATAATCAGAAGAGTTTAGGTGAAGGTCAAATTCGCAGGGCGAAAAAAGCTTTGATTGATCTCTTGATTGGAATGTTGGATGAGAAGGAATCGAACGCGGCTCTAGCACATAGGAATAGGTCATTTGGAAGGAATAATGGTAGTAGTGGTGGCGGCAAGGATCAGCAGAAGAATATGGGACATTTCCGGTCACTATCTTGGAGTGTTTCGAGGTCGTGGTCGGCCTCGAGGCAGCTCCAAGCAATGGGGTATAATCTGAATGCTCCAAGGGCGAATGATGTTATGGCAACTAATGGACTTGCTGTTGCTGTGTACACTATGAGTTGTGTGTTGTTATTGGTAATGTGGGCATTAGTAGCTGCTATTCCTTGCCAGGACCGCGGACTGCAGACGCATTTTTCGATCCCTAGACAGTTCATTTGGGGACCCCTGGTTTCGTCAATTCATGAGAGGATCTTGGAGGAGAGTAAGAAGAAGGATAGGAAGAATGCTTGTGGATTGTTGAAAGAGATATATCAGACTGAGAAATGGACTCGTCAAATGAATGAATTACTCGATTCGTTGCAATTCCCATTGTCGGAGGAGAAGGAGGCTGAGGTTAGGCAACGAGTCGAGGAGCTTAAGCAGGTTTTCGAGACTCTGAAACAAGGGCTATACCCCTTGGAGAGGCAGGTCAGAGAGGTGTTTCATCGGATTGTTAGGAGTCGAACTGAAGGGCTCGATTCGTTGGGTCGTGCAGGCAGTTCTGAATGAAAATCGACTGCTTTCGATAGTTTGGATTACATTGGATAGATGGAATACATTTGTTTTGTGGAGTTTTTGGTTTCTAATGGGTAGCAAAATCAACATTGATGCTGCTTTACCAAGAAATATGTGGATTAGAAAATGAATGTGTCTTGTATTTATGATTGTGATCAGCATCAAATATAATTGTGTAGATTAAGAAAACAAAAAAATGTTGGGATCTTCTTGATCCATAATTCAGCTGCTGTTGTTGCTGGGATTATCTGTAGTCTGTCAGGATGCTGTTGCTGTTTGTATAATCCAGAGTTTCAGACAGGCTTTTTGCTTCTGGGTTGTGTAGTTGAACAATGTTCTTCAATCTTGACTGCTTCTTTCTTTCTTTTTTTTTTTTTTTTAGGTTTTGAAATTAGTGTTTTTTTTTTTTTTTTTTAAAAAAAATTTATGTGTATTTAGGATTTCTTTTTTCTTGGGATTATGGATATTGGATACTTAACTTCTGTAAGAAGAAAGAAATTTTTTTAAAAAAAAAAAGAAAAGAAAAAAAAAAGCAAAAACAAAGCTGAGAAAAATAACCTTTAGACTTTACTGAAATCTTTTACTCATAGTTCAATTGTAAAATTGTTTGTTATATGCATTAATATCTAAATCTAATGTAGTTTATTGTGAAGCAAATCAAGCAGCGATTAATATCTAATGTAGTTTATCATGAAGCAAATCAAGCAACGATTCTAGATACCAGTATTGTAGGCATTCATTTCAAATTTAAGTTTTACCTTTCTAAAAATAAATATACAAGTAGAAGAAATTGCATATGAAACATTCTACTAACATAGTATACAACTATACATGTACAAATGTACAATACATGCCTCTAATTATTGATTACTCCATAATTTACTACGGAATATTGATTAGAGTATGCAAGTAGTATATGAATTGTATGATTAAATTATTGTACTCTTATTTCTTTGTCCTCATCTGTTTATCAACATCTTGTCTATTGTATTCTTTTTCTTTTTGTTTTAAGCAAAAAAATAAAAAAAAAAATAAAAAGAAAAAAAAGAAAAAAACACTTGTCAATTTTGAATATAATTTGGCCAGTTATCTCCATACTTCTAGATACCTGATGTCTGGAATTGTCACATTTTTGAAGACAACAATATTGATATGTCTAAGCTCTTTTGTTTCTTTTGACTCCATACTTCTCATCTTCATTATGTGACTGACTATTAGTCACAAACTCTTTAAAGTTAATCCAAGAGTAGAACTTCAATATTTTTATACCTTCAATCTTGTTCGTATCAACTCAAAATAATTTAAATGTACGTTTCAAATATCCTTTCAGTATTACGTATTATTAATCATATCAAATATAAAAAAATTATATTTAATCGAAAAAATATTTTATTTTATAACAGAGAGAGTATTATATAGGGGAGGCCGCAATCCTTGTGGTGTTGACCGTTGTGCCAAAAGACAAAGCTTTAGAACAGGAATTCTTATTGTAATGGCTAAAAATAAGAAAAAATAAATAAAAATTAAAAAAGGAAGAAAAAAAATGTAGATTTTACATGAGAAAGAGTGAGGCCAGGCTGTGTGTTTGGAATAGTTGTCTCCTAAGAAGCAGGCAATAAATATTTGTAAGTATTAGAGACGTAATTAAACAATAAAGATTACTCCTTAATTACACTCGATCTTCACAATCCTAGTCAAGCAAGCAAAACATCCCCATCTTACACATTTTTTACGTTAACTACTCTTTCAAATCTTATCATTTCTATCAACTGAATCATTCATGCTTCAATGCAAGATTTGACAATAGTCAAGAACTCATTATAAGGTGCTATGGGCGTACATACATAGATGTATTACCTCGTATATATATGTAGTTAACGAACTATAATTAATAAAACAATACTTTTATTGTCCAACTTTCAATTATAGAATCACTATTAACTTCTTTTGATTATCTTTGTGTATATATTAAGAAGTGATTTTATGAGAGAATTTTTTGATGTATTTTGTGAAGAGAACAACTAGACCAATAAAATATTAGGTGATTTTCATTAAAGGTAACTTCAAATATACCGCATAAGTAATTAAAAAAAATGAAAATAAGAATTTTACCATCAATTACGTTGGAGTGTTAGAGTGATAATCACACTTACTAATTTTACATTTCTGGTAATATCCCATAACAAATTTTCCCAAAAATGTGGTTCTGTGACTTCTGTCTCCTTTTGTCAGGAATAAAATAAAATAAAATAAAATAAAACGAAAGAAAGTTTGGAATGGGTGAGCAGTGACCAGCGAAATTTGACCTTATTTTGTTATTAACGTTTTATTTTATTAATATTATTACTCGTAATTTGGAAAGGTGCATAGTTCATAGCTTATGGATTACTGTGCTCAGCACAACGTACAGAGTTACAGGTGGGTTTGGGCTGTGGAGTTGTAGCCTTGTGGGTGGCTTATGGTAAACGCCCATGCTTGGCATTTGGCAGATTGTTTTTGGGTTCATTTGACTGTTTCTTTTTTTGTTACTTATGGATTATTCTCAAATATACTCTCTCGGTTCCAATTAATTATCTTAATAGTGTCATCTTTACCTACATAATATATACTCTCTCCGTCTCATATTATAGTTCCTATTTTTCTATTTTGGAGATTTAAAATATTGTTTTCATTTCTATTTTTGGATAGTATGTATTATACCCTCATTTTTTTTAACTTTATTCATTAAACTTTCTAATTTACCCTTAAATAACTCACTTGCCTTGTACTTTTTTCACTTTCTATCTCTAACTTTTTTTTTTTTTTTTTTTTTTTGCTACTCTAACTTCTGTTTATAATAGCACTTTTATCTTTTTTCGCCTTAAATCATCCACTTGTCTTTTACTTTTGTCTAGCTTTTTTCTACATTTAATGTACTTCATCTACTTTCTTCTCCCATTTCTTAAATACCGTGAGAAAACACAAACAGGAACCATATATTGAGATGGAGGGAGTATATTTCAAATTATACTGTACTTTCTCTGTTTTTTTTATTTGACCCCCCTATTCACAATCCCTCCTTTAATCGTTTTTTGTGAATTATATGTAAGAAAAAATATATTTACGTGGGATCTTGTTGGAATCGTATCAATAAGTAATATTGAATAATAGGCCTGGCAAACGAGTTATTCGGGTCGGGTCGGGCCGATTTTGGGTTAGCAAATATTCGGGTCGGATCGGGTCAATTCGAGTTTCGGGTCAACGGTTTGGGTTGAGTTCGCCAGTTAGGTTCGGGTCACGTTCGGGTTGGGTCAGTTCGAGTCGGGTCAAGTTCGGGTTGGGTCACAAAAAATAAATTCGCTTACAAAAATTGTGGGAAAATTCCCTCTTATTTCAATAATAAAGTTTATACAAGTACTCCCCCTGTCCCATAATACGTGACACAGTCAATATTGCACACATGTCAATGCACTAGTTTGACTTTATTTTTATACAATTAAATATTAATGAAAATTATTTTAAAAATTATATTATGAAACTTTATATTAATACCTATCTAACAACATATTTTATGATAAAATCTGTTTATATTATATTAGTAAAAAATTATGGTCAAAGCTAATGCATAAATAGTGAAAAAAGTCCAATGTCTCATGTATTATGGGACGGAGGGAGTAATAATTAAGGGAAAAAAAGTAAATTTCTTAAAAAAAAATAAAAAAAATAAAAAACGTGGTAATTCACCATTTCACCCTATTTACTTCGGGTATTGGATCACTTCGAGTCTGATCATTTCGAGTTGGGTCACTTTGAGTTGGGTCCGTTTGGGTCAATTAATTTGGGTTAAAATCGAGTCGAGTCAATTTCGGGGTTCGGGTTGGTTCATTTCAGGCATTGGGTCATGCTCGGAGTCAACTCCACATCGGGTCGAGTACGGGTCAGATCAAGTTAGTTTGGCTTCGGGTCAATGATTTCGGGTTGCGAGTCGGGTCATTCGGGTCGGGTTAGGATTGCCAGGTCTACTATATTATAATATGAAGTATATAACTTTTATAATTTGTTACTTATAAAAAAATAAAGTTATTGATGTTTAAAGTTCTGAATTGACAAGCGTGATAAATAAAACAGATCAAGTAAAAAATAATATCTTATCTTATAACTCTAAATTCATCTAATTTTATCTGAACTTATTTTATCTCAATCATTTATCTTAATAAGTTTACTTCATAACTTATTAACCTCAATATAATTATTCTGGTTTGATAAAAAATCTCATTGGACCTTTCGATGGACTAATGATTCCCACTGCTCTGTTTATATTTTCTTTTGTTATACAGTATTGTTTGACCTTATATTAATTTGATTTCATAGAATAGTATGTCAACTCATTGAATTTTGACCAAGTCAACATTATTATTCGGAAAAATGTAGGTTGGATCTTTCTTTGTTTGTTATTAATTAAAAATTGTACGTGTTATCTTTAATTTTCGGATTAGTTTTGACTTGTTAGACTGCAAATTGTTGATGCCAACACGTCGTTTAATGGCTTGATATGTACAAACGACCTACTTCAAAATTATATTCAACATCCTTGAGAACGTGCACTCCTTTCTCTTTACCCACTTGATAACGTGCCTTGATTTCTTGCTTTATATTTGTCAATTTGATAATTCTATAATCAAGTTTCATGCTTGTTTATCTTGAATTTCTAGAGGCTTAATTATGGTCAATGGAGACTACAGAGTAATGCTGAATTGGTTTTCGAGTACAATATAATTATGAGGCTTTAACCGTTAAAGATTAGGCGAAAAGTGAAAGTTGAGAGTAAACTGACATCTTATTAAAATTTATGTTAAATGTAAATTAAACTTGAATAACTCTCGTATTAACTCGTTGGTATTTATTTTTATGAATTTATCTTATTAAATTTATCTGAACTCATGAACAATTAGTATTAGGTAGTCCTGGAGTACCTAGTATTGTACTCCGGGCCCAGGCCCAATTTAATAAATGGGATTAAAACCCAACTAACGAAATTAAAGCATGCAAGACTAAATTTGACAAAATAACAACTTAGGAAAAGCAAATAACATAAAACTAACTCCATATATAAAAGAAAGGTGGATGAAAAAAATCAAATCAAATCATTACTACTCCAGTACTCTCACTGTCTTTACTCTCTATCTCCATTTGAACTAATCCTGCATAATTCTTCAATTGTGTCCATTGAAGGCCAAATTCAACTTTAAGATCATGTCCAAAACCAACATAAATTACCGAAATGTGCATCAAGAGAAGTATTTGTTTAATTTTATAAATTATTTCGCAATTGTACATTTATAACATGAAATTTGCAAAAACATGTAAATACGGTAAACCAATTAAATGATAATGAAGAACTAGATGAAAGAATTGCATATTTACAAATAAAAATTATAGATAAGTTTTTCTAAATCAAACCTATGTTACTTTGCGAAAATATTTTTTTTGAACTAGATATAAGTGAAATTGACAAATTTATTGTGTTTCACTATAAAATATATTTCAAGAATGGATGAATTTAGCTGAATTTTGGTTCCAAACTTGTTATTTTGATCAATTTTGTATCTAGGCTTGTGTTATTCAGCATTGACTATTATGTTATTTTGTTGTGAAGTCGGATTTATATTTCTAAAATGTTTTATTATATTTTTTCTTTAAATCATGTTATTTTTCTTAATATCTAATGTAAAATCTAATGTTATTTTGGGTTCATCATGTGTTGTTTTAGTCTTTGGAAGTAGATTTGTTTTGGCAAAATTATTTCATATTCTTCAAAAAAAAAAAAAAACAACATTTGTTATTTTGTTTCATAAATGATGATATTTTGTTTTAAACCTAATGTTTTTTTGTTTTTATCATGTGTTATTTTAATGAAATCCTAACTTTGTATTGTTTTGTTATTTTAATGTATCCTTTTGTTATTCTACTTAACCTTTGAGTTAAGTTATTGTTATATTGTTTAATATCGTCTTGTGTTATTTTTAGTAGAAGTTTAAGTTATTCATAGAGGTGGGCATGGGCCGTGCCGACCCTCGGGCGACACGGGCCCAACACGAGATTGGCCCGGCCCAGCACGAGCTCGCCAGAGGCACGGCATGACACGGTGACCGAGGAGTGGGCCGTGAACACAATTTCAAGAATCTGGCACGAGCACGACACGAACCTACGGGCGGCACGGTAGTTTGGCCCGCCAGCACAGCACGCCAGGCACGACCATAAAATAACATATATAATAATAAAGAATTATAAGAATTATAATTATAATTATAATAATAATAATAATAATAATAATAAAAAGAACAATAATAATAATATAATAATAAAAAAACATAAACATAAATTTATAAAATTATTTAAATAATATATCCATTTTAAAAGTTGTTCAAAAACAAAATAAAAAAATTATGGGCCGGCCCGGTGCCCGGCACGACACGGCACGCCAAACACGTGGGCCGTGCCGTGCCATGGGCCGGGGTGTGCTAAATGGTGGCCCGGCACGGCACGAGCCACCACCAGGCATGACCCGCGGCGGCCCAATACGACACGTTGCCCACCTCTAGTTATTCATTTATCAAGTTAAGTGTTATTTTAGGTTAAACTTTGTGTTACTTCGTACAAAAATTGATGTTATTATATTTAAAGTCTATTATTATTTTATTTTAAACATGTGATATTCAAATAAACCATATCTTATGTTATTCTATTTTAAACTAGTGCTGTTTTTAAGTTACAGAAAATGCTATTGGAAGAAAAAATTGATTAAATTCATAAAAATTGAAAGAAAACAGAGGAAACTAAGTATAGCAGGAAGAAAAAGGGGAAAATAGGGGAGAGGAAGGGATAATACAGGGAGGCTGACTATGTACCTAAATACCTAATGTCCAAGCAAATAAACGACGTCATTTGACCCTGGAGTATCATGCTCACGGTACTCCAGAAATAGGGTAGAAGTTGCGCACTATAAAACATGATACATAATACAAAGTATTTTATTGTTTTTTGGACTTTAGTATTCTACAGCTTATTTATATAACAATCGTATCAAATAAATTATGGTAGAAAAAAATTGAATTCAAAGCTATTCACATAGACATCAATATATTTCTTTAAAAAAAAAAGAAAAAAAAAAACATCAGCATATAAATGGACTTTTCAAAGCCCAATACTTAATGCCTTTTTGGTTTAACCAATCTAACAAGCAACATTACAAGAGATGCAAATAAAGTCGATCCAATAAAAATGCAAGGCCCAAATAGTGTACACTTATTATTTTTCTCTTCCAATTCATATTGATCATAACTTCTTTCTTCCTTGATACCTTGTTTTGTTTTACAACCTTCTTCTACCTTTTCCTCAACTTTTTCCTCTATTTTGTCACTCTCACCATTGATCCTACTACACTCTTCTCCTTCGATTTCTTGAACCGATGATGATGAGACTTCTTCATCCGTTTTTCGTGAATTAAGGACGATTTCTTCAATTTCATTGTCCTCGTCACTTTCATGCATGATTTCCTCTACTTGATCAATATTTGTAACATCCTTATTTATACTTTCCTCTTGCAAAGTTTCATGATCACTAACTTGTTTTTCGTCGTTCTTGACCTCTTCAATCCCACCTCCAATCATTATGCCCTCATTTTGTTTTGGCATATAGATTGTCAATATCGATTCATCATCGTTGTAATTGGCCTTAATTCGATCCAATAACACCTCAAGAGGAATTTTGAACACCTTGATAAAACTCTTTAAATTTGGTTCATTCTTGTGCATTTCCCATCCTTTCATTACCATTTCTTGCACCGCCTTCTCACCACTTATAGAAATTAGTGTTCCATCTTCATTTATGTCGATCTTGACATCTTCCCTTCTATACCCTAAAACAACAACCCAAAAAAATCATAGAAAAAATCAGCAACCTTCCTAATTTAAAGAGGTAAAAAATGCATTAATAGAAGATTATCATATTTAGTTACATATATACAATGTGATACCTCTAAGATGAGCAGTAAGAACAAACTTAGTTTCGGTCTCTCTAGATAGAAACACAGGACCAGCTCGATCTTTAGCAATTCGAAAGTCGGTAGAATGATGATCACCTTTAGTTGTGGTAATCTTGAGGTCTAGTTCAAGCTCCATATATCAAATATGCACTAGAAAAACAAACTACATGGAAAAAATGTACTAAAAAATATGACTTGTACACCGTACCATATATTACGATATATTACATGATGTTGAAAGTTATATTTATACAAATAATATATGGGTATTAAAGAGAAATACATTGGAATAAAAGTGTGTGTGAAAGTAAAATGTGAAGCAGGCCGTAAGAATTGAGAATAAGCAAAGAATATATGCATTTCTTTAAGTTGGCTTTTGTTAAATTTTGGTTTAAGTTTGGTTGCCTTAGCTTGGCGGGAAGATAACGCTTTGATTGATGCCAAATTTAAGCTTTAATTCAATTTATACAAATTACAACCTTTATTTCTCCTCGTTTTGAATGTGAGAATTCTAGATAGATAAAGCTAGGACACTGCTAAAGATATGCAGCTAAATGTTCAAGAAACTACAGAGTAGAATGATAAAATTACGTGCCTATTGTACCACTAAAAATATTAAATGCATCAAATTTATGATAGTTACTCGTACATGAATCAGGTATTAGTTGCATTTTTAGGTTCTACTCCGTATTATTTTATTTTGTATAGACCGTTTTAAAAAGGGTAACTTATCAACTTCAACTGTAAAATGGGTGAGGATGACCTGTATTCAAATATGTAGTACAAAAGTGGCCAAATGCCAAATACATGATATAACAATAAAGATTATTGCACGTGAGATTATGTGAAAGTAAGGTTTTGTCTACAACCGAACTAGGTTTGCTAAAACAGATTTTTTGTTTGAAGAAATAGACAAACTCCCATACAAGTAATTTACTTAAGTGGTAAAGCATATTGTGTCAACTGTCAAGCAGGACTTACGTAATGTCGTAATCACAGTTATTCACAATCACCCGAAAACTTTGTCAAGTGTATGCACCCAAGTACCCAACTGCAAGACGAGTTTAGCTAGGTTTTTTATTTTATTGTTGTTGTTGTTATTGAGAGGATGAGTTTAGTAAGCTTACTAGCTTAGCACATTTTTTAAAAAAAATTAAGGTAAGGAGGACGCTGACTAGATCTCAATCCTTACGTATTTTTTGTCTAATATTTGCGGGTCAGACACTTTGAAAGTGAGGGAGGAGGATGTAGATATTTAAAAATGTCTCCCTAAAACCAAACCCGATGATGAACAACCTTTCACCGCCATTATTGGTCGAGTCGAGTATTTAATCTCGTGAGTACTTAAAATCCATATTCAATCAAACATAGCATACAAATCAGTACACAAACTAGTCCAAATATTTATTCAAACTCTGTCCAATCCTCATTCTATCCCAAACCCTTTTAATTCATTTAATTCTATTTATTAATTCAGCCCGATTAATAAATATTAGTACCCTAAAACCTAATTAAACCCGGAATAGTTGAAATGACGTCTAATTATCCCCACTACTAGAAATAGGCTGTTTTCCGACGGAATCGTTCCGACGGACTTAAATTCCGTTGGAAAATTCGTTTTTTCCGACGGAATTTTGGTCTGTCAGAAAAGTCCGTCAGAAAAGATAAGTTGCGACGGAAAATCCCTCGGAAATATTCCGATGGATTTATTTTCCCTCAGAATTTACTGCTTCCGACGGAAATTTCCGTCGGAAGCTATAAATTCTGAGGGACAAAAATCCGTCGGAACATATAAATTTCCAACGGATTTAAAATCCTTAAGAAAATTCCGAGGGATTTAAATTTCGTCGGAAATTTCCGACGGAATTTTAAACCCTTCCGACGGATTTATGATTTAAAATAAATAAATAAATAAATAAAATAAAATAAATAACATTAACCTAAAAAAACCAGATTCCCACCCTTATATTCTCATTTCTCTCTCCTGTCTTCTCCTCTTCTCTCTACTCTCTTCTCCTTCTTCTTTTTTCGGTCCTCCTTCATTCCTCCATCCTCTTTCTCCTTCTTCTCTTTCCATTTTCCTTCTTTTCTTTCCTTTCTCTTTCCTTTCTCCTTTCTCCTCCTTCTCTCATATCTCCTTCTCCTTTCGTTTCTGCAACCACAGGAGCAATTTGATACAAAAATGGCTAACATCCTGTTATGAAATCAGAAAAGGCTCGAAGGTGTTAATGAAGTGCAATCTCAAGGTTTTTAGGCCAATTTCGACCATTAAAAGCCTATATCTAGACTTTTCTTGGCCGAATTTGGCCTTGTTAAACTGTTTTCGTGGTGAAATTCAAGCTTATTTCAATTTAATTTTGTGATTTTGTGATTTTTTTTTTCTTCGTTTTTTTTTTAAATTTTTGGGTTTTAAGTTGTTGTGTGTGCGTGTGTGATGTGTGGGCTGGTGGTGGGTGGCGATTTGTGATGGTGGTGGGTGGTTTCGTGGATTCTGGCGTGGTTTTGGGTTTTTTGGGGTAGTTTCGGTGGTTTTGTGGATTGTGGCGTGGTGGGTGACGATTTTAGAGTTGGTTACGGTTTTGGTTTCGGGTTTCGGGTAGATCTAGGTGGTTTTGGGTTTCGGGTAGATTTGGGTGTGGGTGGGGGTGGTCTGGGTGGGTGTGGGTGTGGGTGGGGGTTATTTTGGGCAGGTGGGGTGGGTGTGGGTGGGGGTGGTCTGGGTGGGTGTGGGTGTGGGTAGGGGTTGTTCTTGGCAGGTGGGGTGGGTGTGGGTGGGGGTGGTCTGGGTGGGTGTGGGTGTGGGTGGTGTGGGTGGGTGTGGGTGTGGGTGGGGGTTGTTCTGGGCAGGTGGGGTGGGTGTGGGTGGAGGTGGTCTGGGTGGGTGTCGGTGGGGGTTTTTCTGGGCAGGTGGGTGTGGGTGTGGGTGAGGGTTTTTCTGGGCAGGTGGGGCTTTTTTTTGATTGACTTTTCCGACGGAAAATTCCGTTGGAAACCTCTCCAACTCCGACGGAAATTTTCGTCGGAACGTTGCGACGGATTTTCAATTAAAGTAAAAAAAAACGCCGAAATCCGTCGGAATTTCGTCGGAAAACACTGTTCCGACGGAAAAGGCCGTTTTTCCTACAAATTGTTTTACGACAACCTGTTCCGACGGAATTTCCGTCGGAATCCCCCATTTTCGACGGAATTCAAGGTGTTTCCGACGGAATTTTTCCGTTGAAAATGGCCTGTTTTCTAGTAGTGCCCGTACTTAATGTTAAATAAAAAGATAAAAATGAATTTAGACGGAATTTCAGAAAAGGAATTTGCCTTGTCATGATAAAAATTCCGCGCCACGGCAGACTCTATCGTGCCACGGCAAATTGTACCGTGTCACGTCAATTTGCGTCATGACAAGGCAATTTCTAGGGTTTTTTTTCTTCGGAGCGCCTCATTTCTAGGGTTTTCGTGCCTCACCTCTCGCACTTCCTCTACAAATACAAGGCTGATTTCTCAGTTTCGGGGCACCAACACACATTCTAATCTCTCTCTCTCATATTCTAAGCTTTAAACCTATTTTCCTAATTACATCATCCCTCCCTTTAGCACTCCCCGGATTCCATACAACACTCGAAATTCCATACTTAAACCAAGGTGTGAAAGGTAGAACTGATTGAGGGTTACTGATTGAGGGTTTGGACCAAATCAACTCTATTTTCCTTTAATCTTATTTCAATTTTATTTATTATTTATTAAAGGTACTAACGTTTTTATTCATGATGTAGCAATTTAAAGAAGCGTGGAACGTGAGTAATTAATTCACTTAATTACTCTTATTATTATTCTTATCTAGTATCATGAATAGGGTTATTATTATGATTTGATTTGACTAATGATGTTATGGTTGAATTGCTTCCAATGTTGATGTTTATTCTATTATATTGATGACAATATTGCATGCTAAAGGGAATATGTAATTGAATGTAACACCTAATAAGATAATTTGGACGACCGGTTTAGGTTCCTTTTTAATCTTGTTGTTTAACTAAAGTGATCACAATATTATAGAATTATATGTTGCATTAACATTCAACCAATTTAGCCTAATATTAGTTTGGAGCAAATTGAATCTTTGTTTGCATGCCTTTGAGATCGCAGGAAATACTTTTCACAATAAAAATCGAGTAGAGGCCAATACGGGCGAATGTGACTCCATGACTCACTTCGTACCATCATCTCCGATCCTCCTTTCGTGGTTTCGAACCATATGGAGTTAGTAATCTCATGGATTATGAATGGGCTGTAACCTTCACGGGTCAATTGTTATTTCCTATCGTTGTCCCTTTATCGTGGTTGCCTTAAATGATTTGTGAACGGTTTACAAGTTCCTTAAAAACTTGTTGGCGGCTCCTTACTTTCCCTGTCCCTAATCATATAATGTCAATTCCAACTTCCTATGAGTGCCAAGCATATTCACAACATGCTTAAGTAGGCGTGCTTCGAGTGACGCCTACAGAGGGTAAGGGGTTTGTTGGAATAACTAGCCTGCCTACATAGCATAGCAAAGCAGCAACGTAGCTCAGCAAGTCAGCAACTAATCTTAGCTATGATCTATGCCATCTCAGTCTATCCTAGTCAGCAAATTTTGTTATCATCAGAAAGTTTGTTGTAACAACCTGTAACAACCTCTAGTATAAATGTTCATTTTGCTCTGCTGTAATAACTAATTCTTTCATAATAAAATTTCAGTCATTCTTCTTCTCCAAGTTTTCTCTTCTCTCTTTCTTTTTTCTTTCTAGAATTCTCTGGAAATCAACATGGTATCAGTGCATAATATTGCTCAAATCTAATCCAAATTCCGTTTTCTAAGCTCTAGATTTCTCTTTCTACTTTCACTTCAATTGTTCAAAATTGAACAAAGTTCTTCATATCTTCCTGTTATAGCTTGAATTTTTCTGGAAATGGCACCTCGAAATGATGCAAATGCAGAAGGTTATTCATCACAAAATCCAAATTTTGTATACTTCTTGAGCAATTCTGGTCTTACAACAACAAAGTTGGTGAATATAATTTTTGATGGAACTGGTTCCAATGACTGGAAGCGTTCTATGACAATTGCATTGTCATCCAGGAACAAATTATGCTTCGTTGATGGAAGCTTAAATCAACCTGCAAATAATTCAGCAAATTTCAAAATCTGGACCAGATGCAATAATCTGGTAA